AAACCACTTACATCGCCCGAGTAGAAATTGCCCGATGCTGTAAATCAGGTGACCATCGGCGTCATCCACTACGTCCGACCCCTCGCGGCTATCGTCTGTGACCTGAGATGAGGAAGGTGGGATTGTGGGAAGAACAGGTGAGCACAGGAAGTACGACTGCTTTACAGTAATTTATCCTATGTCACCAGTCGGAACAGAAAATCCGAAGCGTCGTGCGGAAGTATGCACAAACCAGCCTCGGCGACAACCCATTTCAGGGACGCGAATTTGTGTAAGTGCAAACCACATTTTGGGGAGGGGGGGGACAAAACGCAATGCTGTTCGATCTTCCTCTAATTGTACAGAGCATTCACGGTCCGATTGGTGTGATCTCCATGAACCTTGCAATCCAGCACTGGGATTCACTTGCTTGATATTTCAGCGATCGTGTTCATCAGCACAGACTGTTAAGTGGGCATAACTCAATTACCGGCCATTTCTTCAAACAATACATACAAGTGCGCACCATCCACCGCCTATACACACATGGAAAATTTACTGGAGCGTCTTTTATGTAAGAAGACTAACCAATAATTCAGCACATTCGATACGGTTTTTGTATAGACCGCAACAAAGAAAAAACACGTGGACAATCGCATCTGAGAATAAGCGAACGGAAAACTCACATGCGGATGAAAAGAACAATTAGAATGGTATGTGGAACCAGAACCGATAAAAACACAAAGAAGGACTCATCTCGCTTCGTTCGACTGAAATCAGCCTCTCTCTCCCTGTGCTGAGCTACGGACAACATCCCCCGGGAAACGTTGCTGCTACTGTCAACTAAAATCAGCATCATCCGTACGACCACCACCTTGAGGGTTATTTGATAACGGTGCAATGCAAACGGGCCACAGGGAACAACATGCGATGGGTGCTTGATGTGAACAGAGGTGAGACAAACAGCAAGACTGTTTACGTAGACCGAAAAACAAAATGGGCAAATTGGACATTGGTGCCAAGGTGCACCCTTTGCATACAAACACACATCTTCAGGCATTTTGTTTGTTTATTCTCGCTTGTATCTGCATGTCTACCCCTGCAACCGCTATACGCATGTGTTGCTTTTGTCAGTGAAATGTGAGCACGCTTGCTTACGAAATTCTGTCAACAAAATGCCATCTAACTCGAACAACACTTGCTTTGGAATCGGAATATATAAGTGGTAAACAACACCGGTAACCGGGTGCGCTTTCAGACTGCATGGTGAGCAGAAAAAGACGAACACGATCTAAATGAGTAGAAAAGTATTTAAATATGATAACAAAGGTGAAAAATTGCGCAGTCATGGTTACCTCAGGACCGTAGTGTGGTGGGCCAGCATTTTCTTGCATGCTAATTTTGCGCTGTGCAATCCATCGCTTCGCTCGTTTACGCACCTCATCAATTCGTGTACTGCTCGGTTCAGATTCGGTCGGTCCGGATTTAGCCGCATCAGTGGAAGTTGCCGCAAATTTAGCACTCATATCCGTGCTGGGAACCGTGGCACCATTCACGGCCACGTGTGAAGGATCGTTCATTGCCGGAACCGTGCCAGGCGGCACCTCGGCTGCGGCGTCCAACTCATTTTGACGCATTGCAGCTGCGACCATTGCCGCGTTAATCTCCTGCGTTTTCTGTGTGCGACGTAAATGACGTCGAAGACGTCGGGCGTCAGATTCGTCGTCTGATTCCTCATCCAAATTCGTAGTCGGCCCGGTAGTTTGATCTAACTTGTTTGTTTCTACAGTGGGAGCCTGTGACTGAACAACACCATTCAATTTTGCAGCAGGTGTTTGGATGGCATTGTCTGGTTGTATGGATCTCCAAGGGACATTAGGAAGCCGGGCAGCCAAAGGGCCACAAANCGCAAGGGCCATCAGCCCGAGCCACTGTTTTTACAAATCGTGGACTGGAGGCTGTGATGGCATCACAAATTATCGGTAACAGACCGACAGCCAATGGGCCACTAGGCAGGGTCTCCACACAGTCAACAATCTCACCGTCCGCTGGCCAACGAAAACGCATTGTAGTTTGCGCGGTTGATGTGTTCGGAACCGTAGTTTGAGAATTACGCGGACGACGAAGAGATATACCCCGGGACAACGGAATCACGCCTGGCATAACTTCCATAACCCCCGCGTACACTATTCGCTTCGCTGTAGTTGTTTTACCTGGTTGAACTTGCGATTTCGGTGCCTGAGCGGGTTTTGCAGGAACAGAACGCGGTTGAGCCCCGCAGCTTTGGCACACTACATGCATCGGATCCGTCTGCACGGCAACCGAATTGACCACTTTCCGGCCGTGTGGTATAGCTGTTTTAATGGGTTTCAAACTGATTACATGACTGCCGGATGTAAGCAACCGCAAAAGTTGCTGAGTTGGTGTCTGATAGGTTGCAGACGAGGAAGATGGTAAATAATCATTGGCATTTGAATCGTTAGAAGTTTGCGCTGGCAAGTGCGCAGTGGATTTTGCCAACAGAAGTATAACATCATCACCTTCATTCTCAAGATCCTCATCACCACTATCAAACACATCATTATCCAGATAACCAGACTCAATACCATAGTTCGTTGTGGTAGCATTCATGGCAGCGTGTTCCAATTTTCGAAGCAAAGCAGCATTAACTTCGTCAGGTTGTACACCAATTGTGGCTTTATTCGGTCGGCGTGTGGATGCACCTTTACGGTCCGCCGGTGGGGAGTAGGAAGACTCGCGAGAGGCGACGCTATCTAGACGTCGTACACGAGTGGAAGCGTCGGTTGTGCTACTGGTAAGGGGGGCAGTAGGTCGGACTGTTGTAGTTGTAGTTGAAGCCGGCTGACCCGGTATTCGTGGAGGCAATGCAGATGTGGACATAGTCACCGGATTCGCGGTGCAAAAGCTCGATTTGGCAATTGCAACAGAAACAGGTTCACGTATGAATGGAGTTGAGCTAGAGGAGGTTTCAGTTAATTCTTGAAGTACAAGATTTCGAATCGTCAACGATACCGACGGTCCTGGATATGACGCTGTGGGTGCGGGAACGAATCGTCCACCACAAAACACAAGTGGATCTGTTCGGTCTTGTAAACTTTCGTATTTATCACTTTCGATGGAATCGATTGACTCGATTGAGTAAACTGATTCACTGAAAGAGGACGATGCGGGTGATACGGAAAGTGAACTATCCCCGAATGCACTGGTAGATGGATCTTGAAACGGAACTGGGGGCGAGAGACGCGGGAAACTGCTGGTATTAACTAGCCGTTCCGAAGAGGAACGACGAGGACTACAGTCGTTGAGTGGTTGTGTGTTGAGACAGTAACCCAATTGACTGACCGAATGTGGCTCGATGTGAAATGCAACTACACAGGCAGAAGGCTGAATATGATCGAGCAGGCCGGAGCTGAACAAACGCAAAACTGTATGAGAAGGAACATGCAACACGGGTTGGCGAACTGTGTAGCTGGATTGGAGCGATGATGACTGCTCACAGGAGAAATAGACTGAGTGGTAGGACGGAGTTTGACCGAGAAACGAGGAAACTCGTGTTGGAGGAGGACTGAGGAGTGAAGTCGAGCGGGTACACGTGGGCTTTATTGGCGTCTGAGTGGTTGATGCTTCCGCAGGCAGTACAGTGGTTGGCTGACTGCGAATCACTAACCGAGGTGAATAAGGACCGGCGAGCGGAGCCGAAGTAGTGACTCCTAGAGGTGAGCGAACAATGTTACCAGAAACGTTTCCTTGTGGACAAGCCGGACGTGATAAATAACCGGGGTCAGACGATTCAACTGAAGCGGTGGCAACTATTTGACGTGCTGTAACTGGATGAAAAGGATCCTGGATAGAAGCCGGTAAATGGTGATGATAGCGGCTTGATGAACCGGGGGTCGATTGAGGGCCTACTGGATGAGAGGTGACAGACTTGGCAGTTGGAAGTGGGGATAGCTCTGTATTGGCGGGAGATATCGCGTGAGACGCGATCGGATGAGTGGAACGAATTGACGGGGTGGGAGATGACGGCTGACCGGCTAAGGGCCTGGCCGGGGCGCTAGTCTTTTGACCCAGTTGGACGGCACTCGATCAACTCGCAACACAAGGTCCACTAAACCACAGTGATCCGACCGGTAAGGCCGTTGAACAGCCAAAATAAAACGGACCGCGCAATTAGCAACACAATCGAACCAATGAGCACACTGTTTGCGAGAAACTCGACGAGGGCCAAAAGAATGGACCCAAACGGAAACCATGCACAAAACGAACTTCAGTGTGGACTGTGCGGTATGAGATTAGGAACACATGAGGATCCTGGAGCCTTTCGCAATGAGAAGGATCGCAGAAACGCAGGGTATCAGAGCCCGAACGAAAAGACACTAAAGTAAACGGAAAATCGTCCTTCAAACAGCGATCAACCGCTCCAGTGTGTCTGTGGTTGCGCGTGCATGGACTAGGGGATAAGCCCACATCGAACTGCCTGTCCGTCACGGCGGACTGAGACCGAACGAATGGAGGCAGGCGTCGTTTGGATCGGGTCGGTGCGGTGGGGGATGGGTTAGTGAGACCAAAAATAAAATGTAATATCCCAGCAAGAATGCGTTTGGGGACTGGAAGTATCAACGATTTCATGCCTCAGAAAGGGAATCGCAATGACCAATCGCCAATCGGCCAATTGACTGTCTGCCTGCCTACCCGCTTGCATGAGTGCGTGCGTGCGTGTGCGTGCGCGCGCGTGTGACGTACGAGCATACATGAATGCATGTGTGAGTGCAGTAGGTGCACAAATTTATCAGATTGCCAGCACCAAAACCTAATACTGTGCGCACATATGAAACCGACCGATTACCTGACAATCGGTGTGAAACAAACCGGTTTCGTTGCTGTGCCCTTACATTAGCAGGCATGCACAGAGGGAGAGGAACTATGCGAACGCACGCACGGAG